AGAGTTGAGGTTCATTAGCGCCCATGTAGCCTCGAGGCTCACAGGAGGAGAGCACAGCTGACAGGAAGCAGAAGTGGTGCTAATGCAAACTGTCAGCATTCATTATGAGCTTTATCTGAACTGCACACAGAGATCTGAACACTGTTTGAAAAGCAGTGGCGGAGGAATAATTCAGATGATTTGAAACGGTTCCAATAGGATTGTAGTTTTCACATTCCTGTAGTCGTGTGTTACAAAGGTTTGTGTGCATGGAAATGGTCCTTTTTGAACATTCAGGAATGGAGACATGTCACAGTAGAGACACTACATACTAATATGAATATGTCCTCTTTAACTTAAGGAGATTTAGGAAAAATAAAGTTTTCATATATGATTTTTCACCCTCTGACTCAACTGCCCTCTGTCTTATAAATTCAAGAAAAACACTTTAAGATCCTTCCATAATGCAACATGCCAGATACTTAAGACATAAACAAAGTTGTATTAAATAGTGCAACGCCAATGGTGCACGCAAGATGCAGAAATAAGTCAACTATATACATGTAAAGACAATTAAAATAAAACTGAATGTCAAATTGAATACTGCAAAGTGAACTCTAACACTGTATATTATAATAATACATTAAAAAAGTGTACGGAAAGACCCAGCTTTCCTGACTGAGGGCCTGGTCCTTTTTGAAAGAGGGGAAGGGGGGTGCATGTCTCTATTGATGAACGTTCATCAGCATGCAGGGGGGGCCTCGTCCGTCACTGCGACCGAGTTCAGCTTCTGATTCACCCGACGTTCATCCCTCCAGAAGAGAAGAGATTTGGATTATCGTTTATACGGCCAGACTTCAAAGTATGGTTAGGGGTAAAGTAAATACAACATAAATAATGATCTTAGTCAACTAACACTGATGTGAATTTGACAACAAATGTTAAATCATCATGTGAAAGCACCACTTTAAATATGTTGTGCTCATTGGTGTCCTTCTATAGGAGAAAAGCATTACAACTATGACTAATCAACTTAGGATTTCTTCACAACAACCAAAAAGAGAGGGATTCTAACATCTTTCCATCAATTAACGTTATGTTTTGATAAAAATGTCTGAAATAGAGTGATATTTTTTAATTGCCATAGTCCAAAATCATTCTTATTTTAGCTAACTTTGCAGCATGGTTTAATTAGTGGCAGTCTGTTGGTCTGTTGGCCAACCACTTCCACTTGAAAAGGCTAAAAAAGTCGGGTTGTGTCGTTTGCATGACTCAATTTGCATTATTCAATATATACGCTTTCACATGGACACAATGCAGTATACTATGAGTACCTGCATGGTACAAAATGATTATTGTACATCCCCTGTCAATGATGTCCAGTTCTTGAGAATGGTAGCAGTGGTTGAAGTCAATTTTAATACAATTGTCAAGAGAGTAAACAACCCGACAGATATTTTCTGCGGGGGACAAATTAGGTTTTTAATAAATGCATTTAAAATCTGCCATTAAAAGAAGAAGAGTGGGTCAGAAGCAAGTTCAATCAATCAATCAATGTTTATTTATATAGCCCAATATCACAAATGTTACATTTGTCTCAGTGGACTTTACAGTTTGTACAAAATATCAGTATGACAATATGACACCCTCTGTCCTTAGACCCTCTGTCCTTAGACCCTCACATCGTACAAGGAAACACTTCCGAAGAAAACCCCACAGTTTAAAGGGAACATGGGAGAAACCTCAGGGAGAGCAACAGAGGAGGGATCCCTCTCCCAGGACGGACAGACGTGCAATAGATGCCGTGTGTAAATTGAAAAATAATACATTTGCAACATAGGTAGTCCAAATGTTTGGAAATGCATGTGTGTATAATAGGAAGATGAATCCACGAGGATCCAGGACCACAGCCACGACTCAAGATCCAGGGCTCGCGAAGTTCTATAGAGACACTACTTTACTACCACTGTTGTGTACAGTGTACTTCAGCATGTGTTTGAAGTATCCACATATATAACATTTACAATAAGCCTACGAACCAATCAGATGGAAGGATTCTGTTTCCGTGGTAACTGTGGTATAATTTCAGTAAAAGTGAGCGAGTGAGACTAACTGACAGACTGACTGACAGGAAACAATCAGCCGAGAGTTCAGACGCTCGGCAGCCGTCAGTCTGAACCCAGGCGTGTTGGAGGTTTCTTCCTCTTTCATTCTGAAACTTTTATCACAGGAGAGTTGAAGTCTTTAATGGTCATGTCTCAGCTGGTTGAGACTGGAATCTGTTCATTAATGTACCCAAGCTCAGAAAGAAAATTCATCACTGTGAACCAAACCTAATTCTGTCTTTTCAGAAGTAGTAGAAGAAGAAATTACCTGAACCTCTGAATCTGTCAATCTTTCAAACGGCTGCAGTTTGTCAGCTGTGGCACTAATGAGCCAAATAACTAAATAGAAGACTTTGCCTCATGCAGGAAAACAGCATGAAAACAATACTTTTCAAACACCTGGGAAGATGTTCTTTCTTTTATTTTGGCAGGAATGAAATCTAAGTTCTCAGAAAGATGAGTCAGCGCTTCAGTTGACAATAAAGTCCGGAAGCAGAACTCTTTATGGTATTATTTTCTCTGATCTAGTCAGAATGAATCACCACTTGTAGCAACTTGTTAGCTCTGACACGGAGGCAGTTAAGTTCAAAGCAAGAGACCAGAAAATAAATGCAAAGAAAACATTGCAAATTACCAAACCAAATGTTTTGCGAGCGAATATGTTTTTTTATCTACAGAAGTTGGCTTAACGAAGGACAAAGGGTCTTGTTGTTGTTACCTGTTGTGTTTTTGGGTCGTCACCGCAAAATAGATCAATACATACTGGGTCCTGTGTTACGCTGTTGGGGTTTCTTTTGAATAAATTATCCTGCTTATGTCAAGGCAACTTACTAAATAACTAAGTAATTTCACACAAAACATTTATTTAAACATATTTTATTAACTCAACTTAAAATTACAGCAACTCTGATTGCGGTTTTCTGTGAATGTCCAAGTCTGTTCACATTTCCTTTTCCATTAACCAGTCTTTAAACACTGCCAGAGCCCATGCTGTGTTCCTGTTATTATTGACTTCCTGTCTGTCTTCTTCAGCTTTTTGACTGGGGACAGTTCTCCATAATGAATCCAAAGTATAGTGGTTCTCCACAAATATAAAAATGAATATTCAGAAAGTATTACATTGTGGTAAATGTTCAATTGAAAAAAATTGACCGGATGTCTTTCTGCGGATTGATTCAGCTGCACATGGTACTGAATTCAGAGCGTCCTTAGCAACATTCTGCTATACAGATAAAACCAGTGGTGAACCGTCAGAGAATAGCCTGGAACACTGAGATAAAACTACATTAATTATATAACAATTTTAAATAAATGGAATAAATGAGTATCGTATCTGTGTTTTCTGTAATATTACAGTGTTACGTTGATTTGTTTGTGTTTCTCGGTCCATGTATTACGTATTGGAATGGTTTTGTCACTATATCAGATATTTGTCTGGGTCTCTGGGTAGAATATCCTTCAACCAAGGTATTCTATATCCTTGATATAATGCCCTGGCCCTTACACTGAATGAGAGCGTACGTTTGGATTGACAGTTTGATCAGTGGCGGCGCCAGAGATTTTCTCTAGGGGGTGCTGTGGGGTAGCTTGATGTTTCATAGAGGGTGCTCAAACATTAAGGGTTTCCCATTAATGAACCAGCGCTACAGTTGAATTTTCTACTGCAACACTCCCCACACACACACAAAGTGTACCCGCGACGGTTACAATGAAGGCTCGATAATCAGCTCACGGCATATAGGTGTAAGCAGGGGTAAAGTTCTATTTTTACAAGGGGGGGGGGGTGGACCTAACCTCCTCTAGGGGGGTCCTCACCTCCTCTAGTGGGGTCCGGGGGTATGCTTCCCCGGGAAGATTTTTTTTTTAATATTGAAGTTAAAAGCATCAATCTGGTGCACTTTGAGAGCAGCATGAAGAGATCTATGGATACATCTCTCAACATCCATATGAAACAGAACTGTAAACAGATTTTCTATTTCTTTATAGATATTTTACAACTCCCCTTTTAAAACAAACCGTTTGAGACCCACTGAGATAACTAGACTAAAGTTAACTATCTAAACACTGAGAGTCTTTTACTTCACCTGAGCTGAGGTTATCTGAGACTCTCAGTCTGACAGGAGAGAGTTCTCCCTCCACCTTGTTGTTGAAAAAGCTCCTTATATCCGTTAGCTTGGCTAGCTAGCACCAGATCTAGCTAACAGGAAGTCACTCAAGTGTCACAAAGTAATTTAGCCTATGGATAGGTCAAAAATCTAATGGGTGCTGGCCATTGGCCTAATCATATCACCTGTGTTGGCTTTATGTTTTTGGTCAAAAATGTGTTTGTTTCACATTTGCATTGATGTAATCAATAATTTTTCTAATTTAATTTAAAAAAAACATATTTATTGGGGGTGCTTTGGCAATCCTGGGGGGTGCTCCCCCCTGGCGCCGCCCCTGAGTTTGATCAACCAATCATATATTGATTTGTAGCCAATGGGCGTATTCTTTCGGAGTTTCCCTCGGTTCCAGGGTACTAGAAGGCCCGGTAGTTCACTGGCTCGAGACAGAGGATCCAGCGTAAGTGCTACGTAGCAATTCATTTGAAGTTTTATTTACGTCGAAATGGCAACAGGTGAAGATGATGTTGTTGCGGAATTGTTGTTAGTGCCCTTTTCAAGACGACCATTCAGTAAAAAGATGGACATTATAAAAAAAGGCTGTCCAACGCAAAGTGACTGCCTCTGTGACGTCCGTCTGACTAGAACAACCACATTTTCGAATCAGGGGGAGGGTGTGTACAGAAGGTGCAGTTGTGATAGACACGGTTCGCTACTGGATAAAACAGACCACGGAATTAGCTAATTGACCAATTAGAATTGAGTATTCCACCAAACCATTTGTTAACTTGATGTACTTTGGTTCTTCCCTCAGGTCAGCTGTTGGCAGGGACTTGTGAGATCGTGACTCTGGATCGAGACAGCAGCCAGCCGAGGAGGACCATCGCCCGGCAGACGGCTCGCTGCGCCTGCAAGAAAGGACAGATCGCCGGGACGACTCGCGCCAGACCGACCTGCGTCGACCGTAAGACAAAAAGCATGCTAATTTAACAACAACTAAACATTTGTTTGTCCATCCCTTCTGATACATCACCTATCAGTCCTATCACGGTCCAACGTTTTACCAGCATTTAACCTTTCATGTTATCTAACTTATTGTTTCCTACCAAAAGCACCGTCGTTTCACGTGTTGAACTTCTTTTTTATGGTTGGATGGTTTTCCATTGGTGGAATCATAGGAAACAGAAAGCAGTCAGGTGTTACATCTGATGTGTTCATGAGTCATTCATCAAACTTCTCCATTTGCGTCCCTCCATTACAAACTGTCTTTCTTGTCTCGCTGTATATTTCCTGTTATGTAATGAAACTAATCATTCCCATAACAGTTGAATATACCTGCGTTCACCCTACGTCTGTAACTCATTCCGTTGCATTGTCTTATTTCACAGTTTGGGGAGAAATAAGGATTTAATAAAGTTTTTTTTAGTGATTGTAAAGAGTCAAGATGAAGCATCTTCTCTGATGTATAAGTTCACAGCTTGTGGCTAAACTTGCACTTTATGTAGGAAACAAACACAGATAACTGCATCCTCCCTTCGTAAACCCTCCACATCTTTTCATCTGGACCGCAGGGTTCAAAAGGTCAAAGCCCAGATGGGAACAGCTCGGTGTTGCATATCATTTCATCACCGGCTGCCTTTCTGTTTCTCTTTCTGCCATCTGGAGGCGATGAGCTGCTGGAGTGACTGCTTCTGCTCTGCAGGTATCTTACAGCCTCTCCTGGAGATTTTCTGAGACTTATCAGTTGTTTATCTGAGTTGAAGAAACTCTCCTGCTGCTTTCCCTCCATAAAGCTTCTGTTCAATACAAATGCAGATACTTTCTCCTTCAGATCTTAGTTTTTCCTCACATCAGCAATGCTTTCCGTCGGGACAATTACAACTTTAAGAAATGCTCAAGAATCAAACAAAGTGTGTTTTCGCAAGTTCAGCGAAAATACGAAAGTAAAAGTGTGTGTTTTTGGAGATGAAGTTTGTATTGTTGGGGGTTCAACTTCTTGTTGTTGGAGGTAAATATGTAAACATTTGTGTTATGGATGTTAACCTGTTAAGCCCCATAGCCCCCGCCCGCTGGCTTTTTTTTCACGAAACTGTGTCTCAGGGCTTCTTAACATTTCACAACCTATTAATGTGTCATTCCCACTTAATGGGAATAAACTCAGCTAACTGACGATATGAACCATTTTTACCGAAACAAAACACAACTCTAACGCCAAGCGTCTGAACGCTAACGCACTTAGCACATAACTCACAGTAGAAATATGTTATACTTCATCGGATCTGCACAAACAAGATATGATATGAAAGCTGAGATTCCACAGATTCCCATGGTATATGTATCATCACTGTGCAACCAGAACTCAGGGCAGCGAAGGCAAGCAAAGACAACACACAACTTCACTTTACGTGACCAAAACGGCAAATAAAATCTTACCTTTGCTGTTTCCTGATCAAAAGTTGTGTTCAATGGCATTACAACGCATATAAACGCCGCTGAAGGTTAATCCAATGTCTCTGTGTCACTTTGAAATGATTACTGATAATCCATCATAACATTTATGTCAATAAGATATATATATAGCTGCTATGAGAGCTACGAGAGTGTATGAGAGCTTCCGGTTTTGGGCATGCTGGCTGTGCATCACTCATTCACCAATGGGTAATGTTTAGATGGATTTAGGAACTTCCCCTCGATTCTATTGGCTCTATCGGTTAAAAAGAGATGTCAATCATCAAAATTGACCGATGGGGGCCAGAGATAGGTCAAATCCACCCAAATGACCCCAGAGGTGGGTTCTTTTTTCTAAACCTCTCTAAAAAGGTCAAATATCACTTGTTTTGCATCAATCTTGATACAGGGTATTTATTATATGTTATACTTTGGATTCCTAAAGCTTTAGTCTACCATCCCATCATTCAAGGGTGGTTTTCACTATAAGTCATGGTTTTCTTTTTTGGACGGAAACTATAATTGACATTTTTTTACTATGTTCAATCTGAACTTACTTTAAAATAAAAAACATCTATATTGATTCTGACACTTCTACATCCAACTCACAGGTGTAACCTTGCTTTGAGAAAAAAGATTATTAATTTACCCATTTTAGAAGGGAAGATATGGTCATTTGTTCTGGGAATGTATTTTTCGAGCCTGAGACCTGAAAAACAGGCTCGGGGGTTAACAGGTTAAAGCTGGTGTCTTTTGAGCTGAAGTTTGTGTTGTTGGAGCAAAAGTTGTTGTTGGAGCTAAAGTTGTTGTTGGGGTTAAAGAGTTAAAAGTGTGTGTGTTTGGGGCTGAAGTTTGTGTTGTTTGAGGTAAAGACACCAAGTTTGTGCTGTTGGGGCTGAGGAGATAAAAGTGTGTGTTGAAGTTTGTGTTTTTGGAGATGAAGCCGGAAAAGTGTGTGTTGTTGGTGGTAAAGAGAGAGTTTGCTCCGTCAGTGATCAGAGGTCTGTGAGTCGGCTGCTCGGGGTTATTTCCAGCTGCCTGTTTCTGAGCTCAGAGACTCATCAGCAGCTTCCTGTTGTCTTTACACCCTGAATCCCTCTGAAAAACTCAAACCTGATCAAATCAATGATGTCTTCGATGCATTAAATTACCAAGAGCTGCTGGTGGTTGTTGTTTTAAAGGAGACATCAGATAATAAACTAGCTTACCGATCAAGAACATGTAAATGTTTCATTGTCTTTCAATGCAATGCAAGGCCAGGCAAGTTTATCTATATATTTATGCTCATACATTAATAGCATTTGCCATGTATATAAATGTTATGTTCATAAATGTTGTATGTGACGGGACTACGGATGGAAATTAGCTCAAAGCTAAAATCCGGCTGATTTACATCTGAAAGCATTATTTTGTTTAAATGTTCATTAATGTTCACTGTCCCGGATCAAATAAACGATTCAACGAAATGAAAAATTAGGGCATCGTGCTAAAGACACATTATAATAAATACATCGAACCACATTTCAAAAGCAGTCATTAAAAAGCCAAGAGAATAGATGTATAAATGCTAAAATTGAATAAAACAGATACAAATTACAAGAATAAAAGTTAAAGAGGATTGTAAGATGTGATTAGTTGTTTTATTTAATAAAAGGAAGCAACAAATAGAAGGGTCTCAATTTAAATTAAGTGAGTTTTCTGGTTGTTTGTCCCAGATATATGGAGTATAATAAATGAATGCAGATTTTACAAGAATATGAATGTACTTTTCACCTTCAGATTTAAATATTTTGACCTTTAAAAAACTGGCTAAATGTTGAGATACTATACAGAAAATGTGTGTTGACCCTTTGAATGCCTGCTCTTCACCCTTAATTGTTAAAGTGTCTTTGAGCACCAGGAAAAGCGCTATACAAATATTATTATTATTAATCAATGTTACATTACATTACATTGCATTTAGCTGACGCTTTTATCCAATGCGACTTACAATAAGTACATTCGACCAGGAAGACACAACCTTGAAGAAAACAGAATCATATAAGTACATCAGGTTTCATAGAGCCAAACATTTCAAGTGCTACTCAACTGGCTATAGATAAGGCTATAGATAAGTCAGTCCTTTAACCCACACGTGGGTTTGCTGTCCTGGCTCCAGGATGGTGGAATGAGCTCCCCATTGACATCAGGACGGCAGATAGCTTGCACATCTTCCGGCGCAAATTGAAAACTCATCTCTTTCGACTCCACTTCGAGCGTTAGAACTATTAACGAAGCACTTTTATACTAATAAAGGACTGGCTTATCTAAAGCCAGTTGAGTAGCACTTGAAATGTTTGGCTCTATGAAACCTGATGTACTTATATGATTCTGTTTTCTTCAAGGTTGTGTCTTCCTGGTCGAATGTACTTATTGTAAGTCGCTTTGGATAAAAGCGTCAGCTAAATGCAATGTAATGTAATGTATATAAGTGCTTTGTTAATAATTCTATCGCTCGAGGTGGAGTCGAAAGAGATGCGTTTCAGTCTGCGCCGGAAGATGTGCAAGCTATCTGCCGTCCTGATGTTAATGGGGAGCTCATTCCACCATCTTGGAGCCAGGATAGCAAACCCACGTGTTTTTGCTGATGGGAACTTCGCAGCGAGGGCGCAGCGAGTCGTTTGGCTGATGCAGAGCGTAGTGCACGCGCTGGGGTGTACGGTTTAACCATGTCCTGGATGTAGGAAGGGCCAGATCCATTCGCAGCATGGTAAGCAAGTACCATTGTCTTGAAGTGGATTCTAGCAGTTACCGGAAGCCAGTGAAGGGAGCGGAGGAGCGGAGTGTCAAAGACAAATCATTGTTACCGCAGAATCACTTTTTTATTTTTTTAAACTTTAGTCTCTCTGTAACTCTGTTGCAATCTCAGGTCGCATAAACTCTGAAGTTCCTTTAATGTCTAAGGGAGAAAAACAACGAGGGGGTTTAGACAAATAATAAATAATAAAGCAGACTTCATTCAACACAAGAGACAGAAAAAAAGCCACGACAAAAAAGAGAAAAAAACTCAAATGTCTCCAAAACAAGATAAACATGTGTGTGTGAGTGTGTGTATGTGTGTGTGTGTGTAGTGTGTGTATGTGTGTGTATGTGTGTGTGTGTATATTGGTGGGTGTGTGTGTTTGTGTGAGTGTGTCTGTGTGTGTGTGTGTGTATGGTTTGGGTTGTGTGTGAGTGTGGTAATGCGTGGGTGTAAGGTGTGGTGTATGTGTGTGTGTGTGTGTGAGTGTGGGTGAGTGTGGGGTGTGGGAGTGGTGTGATATGTGTGTGTATGTTATGGTGTGTGTGTGTGGTGTGGGTGTATGTATGTCGCTGTGTGGTGGGAGTGTGGGTGTGTGTGTGTGTGGGGTGATGTGTGTGTGAGTGTGTGTTGGTCTGTGTGTGTGTCTGTGTTGGGTCTGTGTGGGAGGGTCATTTGGGTTGTGGGTTTTTATGCCTGTGGGTGTGTGGGTGGGGGTTGTGTGTATGTGTATGTTG